AGCCAGACTGGTGACATAGTGAGAAACCATTTATCATAGGGTAATGCCAGTTGATAGAATTTAGTGTAGTTTTTCTGTGAATACATATTGCATATATTCCTATGTTTAATATTTCTGTAGTTCCGCATTTCTGTTGACAAATACATTGGGTGACAGATTGATCGGTTCTTTAATCTACCAATATTTTAAACATTTTATTGGCCACATGATTTCTTTCTATTGTGGTACAAATATACACAACAAAACATTTGCCAATTCAACAATTTTTACATGTAGAATTCAGAGACACAGAGTACATTTGGCCATGTGATTTGCTGTATGGAAATATTGTGTTAAATTTGAAGATGAGCTTAGTCATCTATTATAAAATTTTGAGTATCTCATATATCTGGGATGGTATAAACTAGACTTCTACCTTCATAATACATGAGAAAGAGAGAGCAAATTGGGGGTGGGGGCAGAGAGACATTAAATGGGTAATCACTTGAACAAGGTAATCACACGTTGTTAAAAGTGTTTATAAGCAGTGAGATAGAATGGAGAATACCTGAAGAGGCAACTCTAGCTAGAATAATCAAAGAAGTCTTCCCTGATCAAGCACTGGTGTGAACTGACGCCTACAAGACGAGGGTGAGTGATGCAAAGAGCTGAGGGAGGAACATTCAAGACAAAGTGAGTAGCAAGTTCAAAGTGTGGAGGTAGGAAAAGACACAGCCTAGAAAACGTTATAGGACAGTTCTCCTCTTTCACATGGGGTCACTATGAGTTAAAATCGACTTGATGGCACCTAACAACAACAAATTGTAATGTAGTGAGTGAGTGGCATGATGTGTTTGGAAGAAGTATGAGGGAAGACTTTGTTGATGTGTTGGCCATGGCAAGCCATTTATCTTATCATAAAAGGCGTTTGATTATGTGGTCCCCTACTATCAGATCCTGAGACCAAACCAAACTCACTGCCATCGAGTCAGTTTTGATTCATAGCAACCCCTCCTTGGGTTCCTGAGGTGGTATCACTGTGGAAGTAGATTGCCCAACCTTCCTTCTGATGAGTGGCTGTTGGCTTTGAACTGCCAGCCTTCTGGTTAGCAGTCAAATGCCTTAGTTACTATACTCTAATCTTCAGGTTTACCAGAGTCCACTACCATTCTACACATGCCCCACCCCCCACTCCAGCCCCAACCCCCCAGTTTTTTTTTGGGGGGGGGCTTTTTGTGTTGGCATCTTCTGTCCTTACTGCCTCCTATTGTTGTTACTATGTGCCATCGAGTCAGACCCGACTCATAGCAACCCCTCCTTGGGTTTCCGAGGCAGTATTGCAGTGGAAGTAGATTGCCCAGCCTTCCTTCCGAGGAGTGGCTGGTGGGTTTGAACTACCAGCCTTCTGGTTAGCCATCTACCTTTAAATTTCAGTTTAGGCTTAGCCTCCTCTGGGAGACCTGCATGTTTCTCAACTTAGATTTCAAGTCTCCTTAGTTGGGGTCTTTGTTCCTCCTTATACATAGCATGTTATGTTAATATTGATTATTTTTTCATGTTGTATTTAAGATTCACCTATTTTGATGTGTACCATTTATTAATTTTACTGTAGTGTAATATTTTGTAGAAAGAAGAAAGTCAAGGCTGAGCATTTAGGTTATTTGCAGTTTTTTAACAAACCATGCAGCTATAAGAACTCTTTTATATAGCTTCTTTGAGATTCTTTGCAATGTTTTTAAAACATTTTTACTGTGACCCAGAAAAATAACATTTTACAGCATGACTAAGTCTATATGTACATATATATGTGTTACTAATTTAGGAAAATTGTATTTACTCGTCATGTGATGTATTTTTTTTCCCCTCTTTTCAAAACAATAAAACACTTGTTGAGAGTAAATGAGTTGTTGGCTGATGTGACCTCTCATATGATATTAGTGTGTGTGTGTGCATGAGTGAATGAATGGATTGCATGGTAGAAGGGTGTATATTAGTCACTTTACACTTGGCTCGGCCTCCTGATTCTGGGACTTTAGCTTTTAATTTTTGTCCATGGTCTTTTAATAGCACTTACTTGGCACAGAGTTGGGAAATAATTAAGTTTATTGAATGAAAATGAGGATTTAACACCAACAATTGAACAACTACCACATTGAGCAACTACTACGTTAACAAGGCAATTTTGTGAATTTATAAGTAAATTCAGTAGAATAGAGAATTCATTTGTAGTTTTGGTTAGGCTTTTAAAAGTCTTTTTTGGAGTGTTTCTAACTCTGTTGTTAAGATATGAAGGTTATAGTCCAAAAAAACGCACGTTAACAAAATGATATTATTATTTCAATGGGTAAACAGTGGTTGGAACTAAAGTTTTCCATAAGTAATAGCGAATTTCCTGGTTCTTTGTAGGAATCAATTAAGATAGTTTTTATAACCTTAAGCATTTTGAGCATTTAATTACATCTAGCATTTGCTTCACAGTAATATAGTTATTTGTTTTCTCTTACTGCTTCCATTATTCTTAGCACAGGGCTTTTTACACATTTTAATCCTTTTGTAATCTTATGTTTTAAAACCAGTACCACTATACTGGATGTTACAGTTTTTTACCTGCACAGTTACTATCACATTATACAAATAATCCCTCCTAATTAATTTACTAAGGAGCTCTGGTGGTATACTGGATAATGCACTTGACTGCTAACTGGAAGGTCAGAGGTTCAAACCCACCAGCTGCTCCATGGAAGGCAGGTGGGGCAGTCTACTTCTGTAAAGATATATAGCCTTAGAAACCCAGCGGGGGTAGCTATCAGTTGGAAATGACTCCTTGGCAGTGAGTTTGGGGTTTTATTTATTTTATTTTTAAATTAATTAACTCACTCACAATATCATTTGCTGAGTCAGGAAAGCTCCTGTAGAGAAAAGTCTCCATTTGAATTTGAATGTTGATCTATTAGATATTCCAGGAGAAATCATTCTAGATGTTCCAAGGGGGAATAAAAGAAAGAAACAATCCTTGCAGTGTGTTTTGTAGACACATTAGATGTCTCTAGAGGAGGAAGAAGACCGAGCTTGTTTTGATTTTCAAAGTTTCTTAATACAACAATAAATAGCAGTTAATTAGTTAAATTTTTCAAAAAATATTTTCCAGCTATCAGCCCTTTCTGAGTGTTGAGGGCAAATTGCCCTAACTCTTTTCAACAGATGGCAACTTTTTTGCTCTGGTTGTTACTAATCCATTGTTACTTACATAGCTCTAAGGTGACAGAACAGACTGACAGTATAAGCCTTTTGGCTTGTAATTCATTTTGATATTGGTAGCCATCAAACACATGTTTAGAATATGCCTCACATTTGTGTTTGTCAGTTTATAGGTGTCATTTCTCAAATTTAAAAGCAGGATATTTTGGGGTAAATTATATGTGAATAATTTACCCTCGGTGTAATAAAGGAAATGTTTTTGAATGTGGTTAGTTTCATTGAGATCTAATTACTGACTGTAATACTGTTTTGTCGATTAACCTTTAGATAGAAAATATGTAATAATTTTTTAAATTTGATTTTTATTGATATTTCTTACTATATATATATACGTATTTTCTTTCATAATCAAGTGATTAAAAGAAATTTGTTAGATACAAACTTCAGAATATTTGACATAATTTCCAGAAATATTTTTTACTTTTCCATTTTTATTTTGTTAATTATACAAGGTATATGTGAAAATAGGAGGCCTGGTAGTCCAGTTAAGTGCTCAGCTGCTAATGGAAAGGTCAGTGGTTTGAACCCACAAGGTTCTTCATGGGGAAAGGATGTGGCAGTCTGCTTCCGTACTTAGCGATAGCCTAGGAAACCCTATGGAGCAGTTCTCCTTTCTCTTACAGGTTCACTCTGAGTTGGAATCAACCTGACAGCAACAAGTTTGTTTGTACCGTGAAAATAATTGTCAGAAAATTTAAAATTTATCATTAAGTTTTATATTCAAAGATACAAATAGTACAACTGAGGTTTGTAATACATATGTGAGTTTCTCTAAAGTGTTTTTCAAAGGTTTTTGATCATGACTCCAAGAACAAATATTTTATAACAGTGCAGTTCATATATTCATATTGCTGTTATTAAAATAAAAGTTTGTATTCTTACTCTCTAGCTCAGGAAATTATAAAAAGTGCTCTCAAACCCCCTGAATAAACTCACCCTCTTTTTTTTTTTTTTTTTAACCACCAGTTGCTTGCTTCATTTTTACTACATATATAGATACTTTTAATTAATATGCATATAGTATTATTTTAACATATGTCTCAGCTTTTGGAAATGGTTTCATATTGTATATTTTGATTTGTTAGTAACCTTTTCTTAAACCTCAGTGTTACTTTTGAAATTTAGCCATGTCTATATAAAGTTGCTTGAGGCAGTCCTGTTTTCCATCCTTGCACACTTAATATTTAAATGATTTAAAAATTGTTTGATTGTGTTGGATGTTACTGTAGTTTTAAAGGGTGTTTTTCCTGATTACCATCAAGAGTGTGCCTGTTTTCATGTTTACTGGACATGCATTTCTTCTCTGAATTACCCCTCCTATATCTTTTGCCCTTTTTTTTTTTTTTCTTTTTTTAAATCGGTAGTGGCTGCCTTTCTCTTACTAACTTCTATCTTTTATTTTTAAAATTTTTTCATTGTCTTTTAAACAATATTTTGTATATTTAATGAAGAATTTTGTTTTTATTATGGGATAGGACAAATTACTGGCTCAGATATGCTGAGTGAAAAATTTAGACAGATTTTGGGGAAACTTTGGAGAGAAGAATCACTAAGATTCTTGAACGTTGATTTATAACCTGTCAGTGTAGACAAGACACGTCTCTTACATAGCAGCTGTCAGTACCATTTGACAACTTTAAGTGTAATTTCTATAAACTGCCATTACAATTGTGTAAGAACCCAGAATGCACCTAATATAGTGTCATGATACTTATTTTTAAATTTTAATATCTGCTTTTCCTTTGTTTCTTCTCTTTCACTAGGTCCCCGATGGGCTTCCTGGAATATTGGTGTGTTTATTTGCATCAGATGTGCTGGAATCCATAGAAATCTCGGGGTTCATATATCCAGGGTCAAGTCAGTCAATCTAGACCAATGGACACCGGAACAGATACAGGTAAAGTTTTTCTTACCAAGAAGTTATTTAAAATATTTAAAATGATTTTGAAAGCTATAACCTTCTTGCATCTGAGAGTTAACGTTGAAAAGAAGTGTATTGAAATGGCATGTGCCACATACAAAATTTGAGTATTTCAATTGTTAATTCAGATGTTTATTTCTTCTGCGATCTGTGGTAAAGTCAAGGTTTTTAATCTATTTTTATCTCAAATGTTGATTTTGAAGTATTTAAAGAATAAATTCTTTTTTCTTGTACTGATGAAATTTGCCAATATAATTCCATGGTTTGTTTTGTTTTCTTGTCAGTAGAGGGAGCCTGGATAAAAATAAAAGGGGAAAAAATACTCTTTAAAGAACTGATTTGAAAGATTCTTCTTTTATACAGATGTGCTCTTGATTTTCAGACAGGGACTACTTGCTTAAAGATAGCCCTACTGAACAAATATTCTAATGACTGATTTGGACTTGTTTAGAGTGATACAGTTTTGTTAGAAATTTAGAATTTTGAGGGATTTTCAGTTTTCTAGTGTGACAGTTTTAAATTTTTAAAGTCTTACTTTATAATCATTGAGATTGGCTGCTAATATAAAAGTGATTACTTTTAGTGGACTTATTTTATAATTCATAGTGAAATTATACTACTTTTTCTACTGCCTTTTTGAAATTTTGTTTCAGTATGAGGGTTAACTATATAAATATGTGTGGTTGAATTTCAGGGATACCCAAACACTCAGAATCAGAAAAAAAACAAACAGCTGAAAATTGCTGTGGTTGAGGTGAGGTGAGGGTAGAAAGAATGGAATAAAAATCTGTCGACTATGAAGTCGAATGTAATTTTTTGTAGTTTCAAATTAGCCTTTTTGAATTTTTTGCTTGCTAAAGCATAAAAGGAAATATGATCCTTTATGCATTTTGAAGATTCTTGACGAAAAAAACATACTAATTATATCAAGGAAGCAGAGTTTTTTGAAATGCTTCATATAAGGCAATGTTGTTAATAACATCTCTATTAGTAAAGGTGATAACAGCTTTCGTGATGTTTAAGTCTTCCTCAAGAAAATGTGAGGAGTAATCTGAAGATGTCTTGGTATTTGTAGTAGATTTTGGAGGTATAAAATCAGAGGGCTTTGGTTCACTGGTTGCCATGGAACAGGTGACAGGTATAATGAAAGAACTGAATTCAATACTATACAGCACAACTTTTACGTTTGCCTGGAAACTTTCAAGGCAAATGATTCTCAAGAGGTGTGGTACAGAGTGATTAAGAAGATGACCTCTAGTATCAGACTGCTGATTTAGACTTGTGTGATCTTGATAGGATACTTAGGCTCAGAGTGCCTCAGTTTCTTCGCTGGCAAAATAGAAATAGTAGTAGCACCTAACTCTGGAGGTTGCTGTGAGGATCAAGTAAGTTAATATGGGTAGAGCATTTAAAACAATACCTGGCACATTTAAGCGCTCAATGAATGTAAGCTTGTTAGTTACTAGTGGTATTAGTATATGTGTTCATTATGTAAAACCCTCAGTATAGCTGCTCTGAGTATCTTTTTGATCTTAGATAATTGATCTTCCTAGTTAATCTGCTGTGATAAATGGGTTGCTAAATGTACTTGAGTAAGTACACAAAATGATCCATTGAATATAAATACAATTACCTTTTGAGAATATTTGCCAAAAATAATTGTTTAATTTTGGTAGTACTTGATGTTAAGGCATTTTAAGATGAATAGTTAGGTAGTTATCAATTGTCAATTGAGGTTGCTCCTCATTCAGTGGGAAAAACAAAATTTCTTTCTTTTTTTTAAGCATATCCTATTTTGGTATGTGCCAAAAAACCACTGTTGATACAATGACTTTTTTTTTGTATATATTTTTTAATTGAAGTATTAATTATAGAGAGTACAATTCACACATTGAAGTGAGTTCTTGAGTTTTGGCAAATGTCTATACGGTGTAACTAACACTCCAAACAAAGGTATAGAGCATATTCATCATCCTAGAAAGTTTTTGGAGGAGCTGTAGTGGCACAGTGGTTAAGGCATTTGTCTGCTACCCAAAAGGTCAGTGGTCTGAACCCAGCAGCTGCTCCAGGGGAGAAAGTTGTGGCAGTCTGCTTCCATAAAGACTGACAACCTTGGAAACCTATGGGACAGTTCTACTGTGTCTGTAGAGTCAGTGTCTGTCAGAATCGATTCAATGTCAGTGGGTAGAAAGCTTCCTTGTGCCATTTTCCAGTCAACTCTTTTGGTAGCAACCACTACACTGATGTGTCTATCCCTTTAGATTAGGCTTGGTGAACATGATATTTCTATCCTTTGGAATCGGTTCCTGCTGACTTTGACTCTTAATTCAGATTGTTGTTGTTGTTGTTGTTATGTGCCATCGAGTCGGCCCCGACTCATAGCGACCCCTTCTTGGGTTTCCGAGGCAGTATCACTACGGAAGTAGGATTGCCCAACCTTCCTTCCGGGGAGTGGCTGGTGGATTTGAACCGCCAGCCGTCTGGTTAGCAGGCAAGTGTCTTAGCCACTATGCTACCAGAGCTTAGGAAATGTGTTAATCATAATATGGTTTAGTGTGCTATATTCATATATTTTATAAGAATTTCTTTGATAAAAGAAATACCTGGTAGATATTTATAGAAGTAAGAGAAATATATTTATTGGATTAAGTTCTATTCTGTGTCTTCTCCCATCATCACCCTAAACATTTCATGATGATGTTTTCCTTTGTCAAATAGGATACTTAGTTTTGGTGGTTCAACCCCACCAACCACTCCTTGGAAGGAAGATGGGGCAATCTACTTCCGTAGTGACACCGCCTCGGAAACCCAAGGGGGGGTTGCTGTGAGTCAGATCTGACTCGACAGCAGTGAGTTTTTTTTTTTTTTAATTTTATTTATTTATTTATTTATTTTTTATCGTGATTTGAGTGAAAATTTACAGAGCAAATTCACTTTACATACAGCAGTTCACATACCCTTTGTCTCATGACATTGACAACAGTTTACCAAAATGCAATAGCTCCCCTCCCACTTCCTCCCTATAGTTAGTTACCTCTTCCCTGTGTCTATCCCTCCATGTACTCCTGCCCCCTGAGCTGTCTCCCTGTGCATAAGCAGCCCTTCTTTCTCCCATGATTGTTCTCTCCATGGAGTGTATCTACTTGAGGTAAATGTTCAGCTCATATGCCTGTCTTTTGTTTGGCTGGAAGCCACAGGTGTGGGTTCAATTCCAGACCTGAAGGGCAGCTAGGGCCCATAGTCTCAGTGGTTCCACCAGGCTCGTCGGACCAGCAAGAGGTTTTATTTTTAGGATCTTTTATTAGTAAATGTGGAAATGTGATTTAGTCTCTGTGCCCAATAAAGCTATTAAATTAAGAAAAAAGTTTTTGTGACTCAAATATAGCTATAAAAACCAAAAACCAAACCAAACTCACTGCCGTCGAGTTGCATCTGACTCATAGTGACCCCTCCTTAAGTTTCCAAGGTGGTGTCATTATGGAAGTAGACTGCCCAATCTTCCTTCTGATGAGTGGCTAATGGGTTTAAACTGCCAGCCTTCTGGTTAACAGTCAAATGCCTTAGGCACTACAGAGCTCCTCAAAATATAACTATAGAGTTACAAATACAGGGTTATTTATCAAACTATATATAATACATATTATTTATATATGTGTTGTATATGTGAATTTTTAGGGTATCTGTCATATGCATAGCTCTATTAGAATTGCTGTGTGCTAATTTTTAAAAGAAAATAATTTTCTATACAAACCTGTTTTGATATTTATTAGCATTGAAATAGGGTACAGTTATTGACTTCTTTTTTTAAAAAAACAATCAGAATTCATTCTTGTGGTATGGTTAATAGATTAATTAGATTAATAGTATCTTTGGTAATGGATTTATTGTCATGTACTCAAACAGTTTTTTAAAAGACAAAATTTTAAATACTTCTGAAAATATTTCCATAACTTTAGTTTTTGTTTTATACTGATTTGTTAATTTTAAGTAATGATTACTGTTTTTCTTTGTTTTCTAGGGCTGCCATAACAAAATACCACAAAGTAGTATCATGGGGAACTTTACATTTGAAATTGTCTACTCTTTTTAGGCTTATGATTTATCCTTAGTGAACTTCCCTTAAACATTTTGTAGATATTTTCACTTCTCTTTAAGGTGCCCCAGTAGTGCAGTGGTTTCAGTGCTTAGCTGCAAACCAAAAGGTCAGCAATTTGAACCCACCATCTAGCTGCTCCACCAGAGAGAAAGATGTGGCAGTGTACTTCAGTAAAGAAAGCCTTGGAAACCCTATGGGGCAGGTCTGCCATGTCCTGTAGAGTTGCTATGAGTTGTAATCCAGTTGATGGCAATGAGTTAATTCACATCTTCACTATTTTTACTTTTGCTTTGACTGTATTGTGGGCTGGAAGAAAGGGTCTTTTAAACCCAGCTTTCTTCACAGCCTTGTATACCAGAATAGAAGCTTCCCTCTCAGTTTCTGTATACCCAATCTCTGAGTGATTCTGCTTTGAATTATAACTCATTCTCTTGATTTAAGGGCAGAGAGAGGAAGGTGGTAGTTGCTAATCTGTCTGCCTTTAATTTCCTTTTCAGACTTTCTTGTTGCTTTTCTCCTTAAGGAGCTCTGGTGGCAGAGTGATAAGGCACTTGACTGCTAACCAGAAGGTCAGCAGTTCAAACCCACCAGCTGCTCTGTGGAAGGAAGGTGGGGCGAATTACTTTGGTAAAGATTTTGAAGTTATATTCACTTTGAAGCATCTTTATTCTCTATCTTCTTCTTTGAAACATGTTGCCTAATCCTCCTGCCAAAATAAAACATGTTTCCTCATATTCCTCTTTCCCCTGGTACATAGCACTTGGCTCTGCTATACCCGTGTATTCATTTCTTTGGTTACTAAGTCAGTATTTATTAAGGACCTACTCTGTGTATTTGCTGTCTTCTGAGGACTAGCTCCTGCCTTCCTTTAACAGTTGAA